TCTCCATCTTGGGTTATATGTTTGCGAATATGAGTTAAAATTGCGGAGCCATTCTGAATGAAGTTGACTTGTTCTTCGGGAAAGCCCATAGACATACAATTTTCTGTCAAATGTTTAGCTCCACAGTTTTCACATAATGGAACACCCATCACTGCATATGCTCATTTCGTATGTGATTTCACCAATAGCTCGACCTACTTTGTCAACGCTGCTATCTGCGCGTTAGTAGATGATGTGCTATCTAATTCATACATCCCAAATGCTCTCGATGATACTACTTTTTCTGATGAAAACATTGAATGTGTAGTGGCAATTAACTCAAATAAATCTATGATTTGTTGTGCTGATTTTTCTATGATCGATCCACTAGCAAAGGAATCCACATGAGATTTTGATAGTGGTGAGAGTCCGGTGTTGAAATACTGCACTTGATTACCTATTGTAATTCCATGACTTTTGCAAAATTGACAAAAAGTAAAATTTTTTTGTGTTTGCAATCTCCTTTCCTTTTCCTTTCTTTTTTCCTTTTTATCTTTCTTTTCTCTTTCTTTCTACGTGTGTTTTTCCTTGCGTTGACTTGTCCCCTTCTTTTCTTCTTTCTTTTCTCCTCTCTTTCTCCCTCTTTTCTTTCTTTTCTCATGTTTCTTCTCTCTGTCGTCCGTCCTCTCTTTCCCATCTTTTTGTGTGTTTCTCTTCTCCTTTCTTTTTACCTCCCTATATATATATATATATAATTTGGATCTCCAATTAAAATTTTCAATACAAGTCTATTGAAACTCATTTAATTCAAATCTATTTAATGTAATATTTCTCTTCTAGACTACATCTTTGAATTTTGCCATTTTTTGCCACTTTTGCATTCTTTTCTACAATTATTCATTAAATATAAAGTTTTACCTACAAAATATAATATAATATAAATTATCTAGAATTTAATCCATAAGACAATAAAATGTCATGATTTATGGTCAAGAATAAGTATATAAACTACACTTAGCATTAGTTTACTCTCACAAATTTCTTTCAGTTATAGTATTATATCATGATCCTCTCATTTACAAGGAGTTAATTTGACAAATGGTCACAAAATTTCAAGTTAATCCTTAATCTATTTTTCCTTCTCGTTTGGTAATCAAACTTAATTAACATTACACAAATGGTTACTCGATTAGTGAAAGTAACAATCAATTCCACGTGGTGCTTGTTAAAAGCTAAATTTTAGCCATTGCCAATTTGTGTACCACGCAAGATATAAATCGTGAAATGGCATTTGTTCATATTAAGTCGAAACAATCTAAAGGTGGAAGAAATGTTTGACTTTTAATTTTTTTGTCGGAATATTTAATTGTGGAATATTATTATGTCTTTTCATTCGCTATCACAGGCGCAAGATTCATTCTCACAAGACCATGTCTGATTGAGTGACTGTTAGTTAAGAGTTGATAACTTTTGAAAATTTTAACAATAATCGTGTTTTAGTTCAATCAATTGTAATTAGCGAGTTGTATTAATGCCCATTTGTCCACGTAAACATTTAATGAGGGCCACATCGGATAGGAGCGCCACGTCAGATTGAACATTAATTTCATGAGTTATGTTATCTTTTTATTTTCTTTTTTTTTATGTTAAAATTATGAAGTTACCAGTTTGCCCTTTGTTGATTTGGTCAAA